CCTCCCCAGGTTTGTCTTTACTCAGAGATGTGACTTTCATAAATTCTTCTGAGCGTGAAAGATAATTGACGTCTCCACGCTCAATTTAATGCAGCTGCCTGCAAAATGTTGTTTACTAACAGGGCTTGGAGTGAGTCCAGGATTTGATCTCCCCCCGCTGGCAAACATGAGACCCTCCCAGACACTAACTCAAGTCAGCACATTTTTGGACGGCACAATTAGTGACTTACCCGTCAAGCCCCACATAAATGTCTCAATAGCAATGTAGCAATGCTCTGATGATCCAACCCTACTATTACTCAACTGTATGGAATTAGTACTTGAGAAAGTAATGACAGACTTACAGTGCATTTTTTCATTATATATTCATATATACACATAATATATATTATATATATATATATATATATATATATATATACACAGATTTTCATAAAACACGTATTTCTAGTCTTGGATGCAATACATATTTTATTAGTGTCAATGACATGACACTCATTTTATGCAATTAAAAGAAATATTAAAATATGTTAACCAAAAAATAAATAAATACATACATACATGCATAAGATAGGATACAAAAACCTGAAAATTATTTTATTAGCAACTAGTTGCCAAGGCAAAATTTCTAATTTCCACTCAACTGAAAATAACTAAAACTAAATCTTAAAAAAAACAACTTTATAGACATATTACAGAAAACTAATACAAGTGCACAAAATTAATAAAAGTTTAACTAAAAAAGGAAAATATAAAAAAATTAAATAAAAACCATAATAATCTCAGTGATACTAAAATAACATTGATTCACACATACAATGACTTGAATACACTTTTAAGCAAAAATGTAAAAAATGTCACGGTGATAACATTTTTTCTAATATTAAAATGAAGAGAAACATAAGCCACATTATAAGAATGAAAACTGCAATCGAAATGTTTTCAGCCCAAAAAGTACTAAAAAGACACTGTTCACAGGGTCGTGGTGTGATTATTTACAAATGGTTCCCATACACTGTAAAAATATGATTTTCAGTTTTTCAGTGTACTTGGGATAAAATTACTTGGGATTTCACTTCCAGAATTCAACTGTTACACTGTTGCTTAAGACTTTTTAATTTGTTGCTTGGCATGAATGAGTTAATTCTATGTTTTCTCTGTCTATTGCTCTCTAAGGCCTATGCCAAGTTTGCTGGTGCTCCTCTTAAAGTTCACAAAATCACCAACCCATGGAGAAGCCCTACAGGTGAGTTTACCGCTGGAGTGCTGAACCTAACTCCTGCCAGAATCACATCAGGCTTCGCTGGTCATCTGATACACGAAGCCGTTAAAGTGAGCTATACTGCCAAAGACTGAATGGCAGCGTGTATGTATGCTGTATGAGGGAACCTTAAACTGGCCATTACACCCTCTTTCAGTTTGGGTCAGAGTTCAGCAGGTCAATGGGTCAAGCATCCACTGACTTCCTGAACTCTTTGAGGAGGGCTTTAGGTTTGAATACGCTTGTACTTAAGGCAGTGTGTTGAATTGTTCTCAGATTTTCTCCAGTAGGGTTAACATGCAAGTTGTTTTCTCCTCCAACAGGTACTCTGCCTGCTCTGAAGACCAGGGAAGAAGGAAGCATCTCCCAACCCAGTAAGATCATCATTCATCTCAGGAAGCAGGTGAACGACCCCCTCTCAACCCTCAGAGAGAGGCCAGTGACACAAACACACACACAGGTTTGTTTTTTCTGCATTTTTACTTTCTCAAAAAAACTTTATAAGCTTTTGTACCCATGGGGACCTCAATTTAGGTCCCCACCGTGACACGAGTCCCCATGAGTCTGTGTGTATTCAGGTTTAAGTCCCCACCAGGATATATAAACCAGTACACACACACGCACACACACACACACACACTCTCAGTAGGTGAGGATTAGACCCTAAAGCTCCTCTGCATCTAAATCAAGATCTGCATCCTCAGAAAACAGGTGAAGGATTTTCCTTGAACCAGTTTATGGGCAGATGCTAAGCAGGTTGTGAGACGGTGTTGAGTGATGTCAAGACAGCTGTTCTGAAGCTCTTTTTAAAGAAAAATAGTTCGGTTTAGAAAAATGACATCCGGAGTTACACCTGGAAACCTGTACCCCCAGACTACATATATCCAAACATAAATTGTCTTGCACTTTTTATTTATTTATTTATAAAGCAATAAGCCCCAAGAAGCCATGGTTTACAGTGAATTTCTAACAGCTAAGGGGCGTTGTTAGGTACGACGCGAAGCTGTTATAAATTCACTGTAAACCACGGCTTCACGGGGCTTATTGCTTTTATAAAATGGTTATTCCATATATGTAGTAAGGTTTCACAGAATAAAACGGAGCAGATAAAGTGTAATGATATAAATAAAAACAGTATTCTTCCAACAAACAATGTAATTCCTCAGAAACAGTGGTTGGAATAAAGTGGTTGCCAAGCAACACAACGTAAACAAAGGTGTATGTTTGTAGAGTAATTTACAACAGCTTCGAACTTGGCTCAACCAATCAGAATCAAGGACCGGAACTATAATTTTTTTTATAATTGATTATTTTGGAATTCTGTCATGGTGATTGAACGAAGAGCATAACATAACAAAAACTACTGTTCAAAAATGTAGGGTCAGTAAGATTAAGTTTTTTAAAGATTAAGTTTAAAGGGGTCATATGATGCGATTTCAATTTTTCCTTTTGCTGTCTGTGTTTACAAACATTTGTGAAAAAATGGTTTGTTCTGGGGTGCGTCCCATGTGTTGGAGAAAAGCTAAAAGTAATGCATTACAATATTGTGGTACTCCATAAAAAAGTTACTAATTGTGTTACTTAGTTACTTTTTATGGAAAGTAATGCATTACATTACTTTTGTGATATTCAGATGTAACACAGATATTTTCTTGTAAATTTAAAAGTAATGCGGTATTTTACTAATTACTTGAAAAAAGTAATCTGATTACATAACTTGTGTTACTTATAATGTGTTTCCCCCAACGCTGCATTGGTTCAACAATATAGGGCTGGCATTAATGACGTCACGTGCACGTGGTGGTGTAATAACTTCTGCTGGTTAATTGATTCAAGATCTCTGAGATGTTGCTGTATTGAATGGCACCTGACGACTACTATACTATTTTTGGTTCCCTGTCATTTTGCTTTATTTGATGTTTGATTCATCGTGGATTCCCTCTTGTGTCATACTCCGGGGTTCCCTCACGCGTTTATATTAAAATATATAGATTGAAACATTTATATTTACTGGAATGAAAGATAGAGAATGTACTGCATGTTAGCTTGCTTATTGTGCCCAAGAACATGATCTCTTGAAGTCCACATATCGTACTAACAAGAAACTATGCTTCTAACCACAGGTCCAGAGCTGTAGTTCCAACTACGTAAGTTTGCGATGCTGTTTGCGAATATTTGTTTTACGCGAATATTTAGTTTAAACCTGGTTTTTGGAAATAATGAATCGTTGAACTACAGGTGCGTCTCAATGAATTAGAATGTCATGGAAAAGTTCATTTATTTCGCCCAGTGAACCAAACTGAGAGACCATTTTGAAGGCTCAGGAAACCTTTGCAGGTGTTTTGAGTTGATTATCTGATTGGCATGTCACCATATTTTAATTTGTTGAGATAGTGAATTGGTGGGTTTTTGTTAAATGTGAGCCAAAATCATCACAATTAAAAGAACCAAAGACTGTGTGCATTGAATTTATTTAATACACGAGTTTCACAATTTGAGTTGAATTACTGAAATAAATGAACTTTTCCACGACATTCTAATTTATTGAGATGCACCTGTATGTTGGTAACAACGGAACTTGCGACCATAGTTTCTTTTGGGAAATGCACCCCTGAAGAGCTCAGTGAATTCAAGTGTGGTACTATCGGATGCTACCTTTGCAATAAGTCCATTTTCGTCCCTGCTAGATATTCTGTGGTCGACTGTAAGTGGTATTATTAAAAAGTGGAAGCGTAGAGCTTCATGGAATGGGTTTTCATGGCCAAGCAACTGCATGCAAGGCTCACATCACAAAGTACAATGCCAAGCGTCGGATGGAGTCTAAAACACGCCACCACTGGACTCTGGGGCAGTGGAAACCTGTGGAGTGACGAATCTTGATTCTCTGTTTGGCAGTCTGATGAGCAATTCTGTGTTTGGCTGATGCAAGGAGAACATAACCTGCCTGACTGCATTGTGTCAACTGTAAAGTCTGGTGGAGCAGGGCTAATGGTATGAGGCTGTTTTTCAGGGTTTGGGATAGGCCCCTTACTTCCAGTAAAGGGAAATCTTAATGCTTCAGCATATCAAGACATTTTGGACAATGCTATGCTTCCAACTTTGTGGGAACAGTTCAGGGTTATACATTTTCTATTCCAGCATCACTGTGTCCGATGGAGATAGAATTGTTGCATAATTCCAAATAAATAGATTATGATCCACAAATAAATGTAAAGAGACATATTGACAAATAAATAGAATGAGATCCACAAATAAATCTAAGAGTTTCAAAAACATGAATTAAATTCACAAATAAATTGAATGTGCGATTTGTCCTTCATGTCACGCCTCGTCCAGTGTAGACATTATCACTGATTATAATGATCTCTATTTGCTGTGTATCTGAATGTCTTGAGTAGACGGTGGGTGGAGTCCACGCATTTGGCTTTGTCATCATCTTGTGGATAGAAATGTTTTAAAATCCACGAATGCGTGCAGTGATCTACAAATGCACTGGACGCGATTCACAAATGAATGCCAACCAAAGTTGTGTTTGTGACAAAAAATATTTGTGAATGTTTTTTATTAGCAAATCTCATTTTATTTATTTGTGAATTTAATTCATGTTGGTGAAGCTCTAAGATGTATTTGTGGATCTTATTCTATTTATTTGTCAATGTTTAATTTTTCTTAATCTCTTAATCTCTACATTTAGTTGTAAATCATAATCTATGTATTTTTGAGCTAGGCAACAATTCTATCTCCATAGCGCCCCAGTGTACAAAGCAAGGTCCATAAAGACATGGTTGGATGAGTTTGGGTGTGTAAGAACTTGACTGGCCCACACAAAGCCCTGACCTTAACTCCACCCAACACTTTGAGATGAACTGGAACAGAGATCGCAAGCCAGGCCATCAGTGCCTGACCTCACATATGATCTACTGGATGAATGGACAAAAAATCCCACAGAAGCACTCAAAATAAAAAATAAATAAATAAAAACTTCCCAGAAGAGTGGAAGCTGTTACAGCTGCAAAGGTCGGGAACAACTCTATATTAATGTCTATGTATTTAGAATGCAATGTCATTAAAGTCCCTGTTGGTGTAATTGTCAGCTGTACCAAATACATTTGTCCATATAGTGTAGCTCTGTTTTAATAATACATATTAAAAGCCGTAATATTGTATCCAGTATACACACACATTTAAATATGTTACAGTTTCTCCTTGTGTTGAACTCTGCATGATGGCACCATTCAAATATTGGTGTTTGATCTTTCATTGTCCCCCTAAGAACATCTGTCATGTTTACTGATGTGCCGCGCAGCCTCTGTTCCTGTTTAAAACTGTAAAACAAAGACATTAACAGTCTTAGTGGAGTTCTGAGAAACCTCATATGTTTCTGAACCCTTCTTTCTGTGTAGATCTACACATTGTGGATAGACTCTAAAAACTATGTGGATGTTACGCGGTGCTGGTATGCAGAAAACATCTCCTTCCCTCTCAACTTCCTGCTACCCAACCGCATGCACGGCCAGCAGCTGGAGAAGTTGAGGCTCGTGAGGGGAGACCCAGTCCTGGAGCCCGGTGAACAGCTGGAGAAAGAGGTGAGCGGGGAAGAAGAAGAACTGAAGATTTTAGTTCTGTTGTTCACACAGAGATAGTTCACCCAAAATGAATATTTGCAGTTAATTTACTCACCCTCAGGCCATCCAAGAAATACTGTAGGTTGGGGTGTGCGATATTGATAAAACAAGATATCTTGATATTTTTGGGGGGATTTAAAAAAAAAAAGATAATTAAACAATATTTTGCTGAGTGTGTTTTTGTGCTGGTACCTTGGCTAGTTTTGGCCTGGCACGGATAAATAAATATGAAACCAAAGCCACCAGTAGGTGGCGACAAGTCCCTGACTTAATGAGTGATTCATTGAACCATTCATTCAAACGATTCATTCAAAATGTCTGGTTCATTTAGAAACGAAGCAAGCAACTGTCTTTATGAATGGATCATTGAATCATTAACTCAAATGATTTGTTCAAAAACAGATTCATTCAGGAACAAAACACTGCATCGCTGCTCTGAAACTAACAAATGTTCTGCTCTGGCTTTGTTTGGAACTGTTTTCGTTGACGAAACAGAAAAACTGACAATATTGTGTCTATGATGTAACTCACTCAATATTAACTTCTTGTTTTTTGAACTGCTGTATAAAAATCAATACAACATATGCGATCGCACTAATGCACTAATATTTGGGAAAATGGTACTCTTGCTCCTGTGATATGGCTTAACTATATCATATCTTATAAATATAAAAAACAAAAACCCATTGTCAGGCTTGTGTTGTGTTTTCTTCCCCATGTGCTCCCTGTGTCCCAGTGTTTATGCCCATATTTGGTCCTTCCTGTTCCTGTCCTAATTGTTTCCAATGTGTTCTAGGTGTGTCTAGTTATCGTCCTCGTTTCCCTGTGTGTTTAAGTTTGAGTCTGTGCAGTCTGTCTTTGTCCTGTATTGATCGTCTACCCCTGAGTCTACGTGTGTTATCCTGCCTGTGTTCCTCGTTGTTTGCATAAATACCTTTGATGTTAATCCTCTTGGTTTCCACGCTCCTTCGTCTCCTCGTCTCCGCCACAGTAGGCAGTCGTGACAGAATACAGGACCGAATAACAGAACAGTAAGCAGCGCTCCTTTCCCCGTGTTTGTTTTCCATTTTTTCGAAAGTCTTTTTGTTTCCCATCTGTTTCTCCCTGCGGCATGGAAGTTGCCGCACGGTTCGCCGCCCTAGCTTGCCTGTATCTCCCCTTTGTTGAGTATTCCTGGGAGTTCTGCAGGCTCGCCGCGGCTACGGCCCTGGATGACTCCACCCTCAACTCGCTGTTCTGGCACGGGGCCAACTACCATCGCCCCGTGGACCTCCCAGACACCACGGGACTAAGCTGGAGGGAAGGAATCCTCCGGTGTCTGGAGAGCGTCTGGCCCCCAAGCCAGAACCAGCCCACCGGCCGCGGCATCCTCAAGCTCGCCGGCCGATCCCGAGTCAAGCCCGCCGGCCGTGGCTCACTCAAGCCCGCCGACCACGCCTTTCACCCCGAACCTAAAGGGGAATCGAAGGAGGAGAAGACGGTCGGCTCCAAGTCCAGAGCTCGCTCCAGTGTCGGCTCCAGCCCCAGAGCTCGCTCCAGTGTCAGCTCCAGCCCCTGAGTTCGCTCCAGTGCCAGCTTCTCGAAAGCGCCTTGCTGTGCCTGCTCCTCAAGAGAACTGCCATATGAATTGCCTGCTCCGCCATGGTGCCCGGATCTGGGACCGCCTTGGGGCATCCCGTCCAAGCCTGTCCTGAGGGATCTCCCACCCTCCCACCCCTTTGATGTTGTATGGCGCGAGGATGTGCCTTCCAGGGGGGGTGGTGGGGGGTCATGTCAGGCTTGTGTTGTGTTTTGTTCCCCATGTGCTGCCTGTGTCCCAGTGTTTATGCCGGCGCCGCCATGGTCTCCTGAGTCCCCTGATCCGCCATTGTCTCCTGAGCTACCAGCTCCGCCATGGCAACCTGAACTGTCTGCTCTGCCATGGCTCCCCGAGCTGCCCGCTCCACTGGCAAAGCCTGTCCTGCGGGACCTCCAAGGCGCCCACCCTCCCACCCCTTTGATGTTGTATGGCGCGAGGATGTGCCTTCCAGGGGGGGTGGTGGGGGGTCATGTCAGGCTTGTGTTGTGTTTTGTTCCCCATGTGCTGCCTGTGTCCCAGTGTTTATGCCCATATTTGGTCCTTCCTGTTCCTGTCCTAATTGTTTCCAATGTGTTCTAGGTGTCTAGTTATCATCCTCGTTTCCCTGTGTGTTTAAGTTTGAGTTTGTGCAGTCTGTCTTTGTCCTGTATTGATCGTCTACCCCTGAGTCTACGTGTGTTATCCTGCCTGTGTTCCTCGTTGTTTGCATAAATAAATACCTTTGATGTTAATCCTCTTGGTTTCCATGCTCCTTCGTCTCCTCATCTCCGCCACAGTAGGCAGTCATGACACCCATACAGGGATATTTTTTGGTTTCATAACTTGATTTATAGGGGCATTTGTAACTGCATTATCATAAGCTTCATCATGCAGTGAATGCTTTTGAACTCTCAAGATATTTATTTGTTTGTTTTTTGCATGTACAACAGTACTCATACATACTCGATAATGCCAGCTCACACATCGTTAAAACAACAGTTGCGATATTACCGTACAATAAATATTGCACGCCCCTACTGTAGAACAGTCTACTGTTTTCTTCAGTAGAACAGTAAAGAATATTTTTAGCTGAAATCATGGTCCTTGGTGATTCATAAATTGCAAGTCAATGGCTACCGTCACTTTGAGAATCAAAAAAGCATATGCAGGCAAGACCTGTGAATACCTGTGGCTCCTGACGATATGTTGAGGTCTTATGAAGTGAAACGATTGGTCTGTGCAATAAACTGAACATTATTTACAATATTATTACCTGTAATCCATAGCTGTAATCCAAATTTATAACTAATTTCCAGTTAACAATTTAATCAGTTAAATTATTTTCTAAAATGCTTACACTATTTAACAAGGCAGTATAATAAAGGTATACTGTATGCTAAAGTAAAAGCTTATCCAAAATCCAAATATGTCATCAGGAGATTATTTTAGTTTATGATGTCAACATAAGATGCTACATTCAAACCATGAGAACACATTAGAGGGCCATTTCTATATGTAGACTTTATTTTTGACAGTCTGTTGGTGGTCTACATTTGTTTCAAAGACACTCCTGGATTGTTCTGCTGGATGTCCATCATATGTTTACACAATGAACATTACACAAGAATTGGGTCAGATGACTTGTTGCCATAGCAACATGTCTTTGTGTTATCACTGCTTTGGTGGCTTTAGAGGAAGGCTATGGAAGAGGCAGTAATGAGCAAAGACAGATACATATGTCCTTTTTGAAAATACTGCAAGCAGTTATGATAGATTGTATTTGGAAAATTAAACTTAATCTTTGTGTTTGTGTTTCTGTTTTGTAGCTTTATCGTGATGCATTTGAATGTATGACCCTCCTATCGCAGAGACTGGGGTCACAGAAGTTCTTCTTTGGAGACTCGTAAGCGACACCAGTTGTGTGTAATTGTGTAATTTGTGTATGTACGTGTTTGTGTGTGAGATAATGTGCATCTGTGACCATGATGTTTCATGTGCTTGCAGTCCCTCATCGCTGGATGCATATGTGTTTGCACACCTGGCTCCTCTGTTGAAGATCAAACTGCCTAATGGAAAGCTCCAGCAGCACCTCAACTCTCTGAACAACCTGCAGCAGTACTGCACCAACATCCTAGCACTCTACTTCCCCTCTGATGCACGAGGTGCATATTGTCATCTTATACTGCGTTAAAAACATTTTGCTCTTTTATTAGTAGTAGTAGTAATAGTATAAATAAAAATACAAAATAATTACTTTAATTTAATTAAGTTTTATTATTTATTATTATTTTCAAATTAACCTTAGTAATAGTATAAATATTATGAGTATAATATAAATAATAATAAAAACAAACTTAATTTTTAATAGTTATTCTTTATTAACAACTGTTATTATTATTATTATTATTATTATTATTTAAGGTTAATTTAAACAACAACAATAATATTAATTGTTGTAATTATAATAATAATAATTGTTGATGGTGTTGTTGTTGCTGCTGTTGTTTCAAACTAACAGTAAATAATAATAATAATAACCTTAATTTAAGTTAAATTAAGTTTTATGTATGTTTTGTATTTATATTTTATTTGATATGTATTATTGTTTATAATAATAATACATTTTGTTTAATATAGAATAACAACAACAACAATAATAATAACATAAAGGTAATTATTTCATATTTTTATTTGTTATTGTGAATATATTTATTTATTACAACTGATAATATGTATTATCATTGCTATTGTTATTATTTAAAACTCAACTTAATTATTATTCTTAGTAGTAGTAAATATTAAGAATCTAATATTAATAATAAAACTTTTAATTCAAAATACTTAAATTAATTGCAATTATTATTCTTGTAATTATTAACAGTATTGGTCATTTAATTTAATGTGGTTCGAAAAAACTTTGATGTGAATGAAAACAACTGAATGAGCTAAAATTATATCTGAGCCATCTTTTTGGACCTGGGTTAATGTGAATGGGGTTCCGTTCATTCAGTTTACTTTTTGGTCCACTTAAAGGGATCTGAGTTTTGTTCATATAAAGAGAGGACTCAACTAACCCTAAGCTTTTTTTACTGAAACTGTATACTTTCCTTTTTTAGAGGCACCAGGTCGCAAGATTCATGTTCAGCCTGATAGCAGTGACTTCGACAACGAGCCCCACATGCGGCGTAACCAGATTCTGTCGGTTCTATTCGCTGTGGGAGCCATGCTGGGTTACGCCATCCTCACCGGGATCGTTACGATCAAGCGTGAGCAGCCACAGCTGAAGAACTCAGGTCGTGATGATGGAGATGAAGAAGATGAGGACTAAGTAGAGAAGGAAACATGGGATGGGACAACAAGCGCACATTATCGCTCACCTGCCATTCAGAGTGAAGCTGCACACACTATTACCTCAGTTCTTTATAATCTCCCATCATGCACGTGTGTGCTCTTAACAGAATCGCTCACTTGATGTAGCCTCAAGCGAGCCCCATATTGGTGCTTTTAATTATTGTTAATATAATTGTTACTATAATAGTTGTGATCTGTAATTTTGTCAGGTCTCGTACAGGCAGGAATTTTGACTTGATTTTCAGGTCATTAAAAGATGTCTCACAGTTTTGTGTTTTATCTTCTGATCTGCATTCAAGTAAACATGCCACTCCATCTGGGTAACATTTATCTTAAATGTTAAAGGGGTCCTATTATGCTTTTTCACTTTTTCAACTTTAGTTAGTCTGTAATGTTGCTGTTTGAGCATAAAAAAGATCTGCTAAGTTACAAAGCTCAAAGTCCACTTCAAAAGGAGATATTTTATTTAACAGAAATCACTTTTCAAAAACTACAACGAACGACTCGTTTGGACTAAAACGCATATTTTCCGGGATTTGTGATATCACAAATATCGACGACTGGGACGTAGCCAATCACAACAAACACTGGCCCAGCTAACCAATCACAACACGCACTGGCCCAGCTAAGCAATCACAGCACGCACTGGCCCAGCTAACCAATCACAGCACACACTGGCCCAGCTAACCAATCACAGCACGCACTGGCCCGGCTAACCAATCACAGCACGCACTGGCCCGGCTAACCAATCACAACACGCACTGGCCCGGCTAACCAATCACAACACACAGTGGCCCAGCTAACCAAAGCCTGTTCTAGTACACCCCCAAAACAAAATCAAGACTTTGTAAAAGAGCATAATAGGACCCCTTTAAAAAGACAAATACTAATATGAAAAAAAATTGGTCTGTGCTCCATTTTATCAGTACTACTTTTCACATAGCAATCCATGCTTGTATACATCATATATACATCATCGTGGCCCTTACAAAAATTAACCATGATTTTATTATAGTAAAAGTGTAGTGACCATGTTTTTTAGGCAGATTGATTACCATTTACTTTTACTACAAATACCATGGTTAAACTATGGTTAGTTTAGCAAAACCATGGTTAATTTGTGGCTACCAAATGGTTTAACAACAAAAACCATGTTTTTTTTGGTTTTATTTGTAGTAAAACCATGGTTAATTTTCATAAGGGGGAAACGGACTGAAAATTAGGAATACCATTAGGAAGAAACATTAACAGCTGCACCATTACGCTTCAACACTTTTAGACAAGCGTGTAAATATTACATTAATTTGTTGCAGTGACCTGATATGCTGTCCTGCTGACTAAACATACTGTCAAGCTATATTAATGTTTCCAACGCAATGCAGAAATCACACAGAGTGAACTTGTCAGACTTCTTATCCTAAACCAACCATCTAGGAGCTCTTTGACGACTCGAGACCCAGAGCTTTATAAATCAGCCAGATTTTAAAGCTCTCCTGAGAACTGCTGAGGACAACTTTATTATTTCATGCCAAACATTGCAGTTACGTCGGAGTCTGTAGCCATTATACAGCTGTGCTTCTCCGTCCCAGTCTCTCACCGGAAACCCAAGGCACACTGGGGTTGTCCATTTTGTTTCCTTCTCAAAGAGGTTTCCACTTTTACTGTCAGTCACTGGTGCAACTGTAAATGCACAATGCATTCAAACTTGCACAATGTTTGTTTGGTACAAATGCTGCTGTTCATCTTCTGTATTTTGCTAGTCTATAAATAATAAAAAAGGAATCAACATGAGTGTACTTTGAATCCGTATTTAACAGTTATAGCAACTTCAGTTTGAAGACCATTTTCTTTTTTTCTGGATTCTTTCAGCATTAAGAACATCAGGTCATCAGTGTGTCCAATATCATAGGATAAAGAGGGTTGTTTACACAGCTTGCATGTGTTTTAACTTTATTATTGTTCTATAAGCTTCAGACATATCTTAATCAGAATTCGTTTTGGTAGACTTGTTCCAATTATGCTGCTGTGTGTGTAGCGTCAAGTTCAAAATTTAGTTGAAAATGGCTGCTGCCCACTTTCCCTGGGTTTTGAGATGTCTGTGTTTTGTATGTAACGTAAGTGTGTTTCAGATGTCAGTAGAAAGACTCAACATTGCTACCACAGTGGTGGGTCAACCAAGGTCACTTTCAGTTTGGTTGAAGCAATCGATGGCAGAGCTGTTTTACTAAACTATTTTTGTCATGTTTATGAAGTTGCGTTGAATCTTAAACTAAGTGGCATGCGTTTTAAAGAAAGATAACACTCCAAGGAGCACATTTCAAGTTTGTTAGGTTTCAAATGATAAAATGATATATATATATATATATATATATATGAGTAGGCTATTCGGTGGCCTTCTGTTTGGCAGATTTTAGTGGAACATGTGCATAGTTAATGTGATGAACTAGACGTGTGGTGACTAATAGGACATCTGTGTTCATATGTCCATATTACAGTATATGCAGATTCATTTGATAAGGTTTGTAATGTAATTACATTTAGTCATTTCCACATTTGTCAAGTCAAGTATATACACACAGTTACCTTTGCCCCGTCCCGAAAATAAAAGGTCCTTAAATGCAGTTGCTAGGTTTTCTGGGCCCCTTGTACAGTTTATTGCATTAGGCCTCCTAGCTAGCGACATCCCTGTTAAAATACTACAATGTTTTAATTGACATGTAGGCTAACCAATAAGTTGTTGTGTTTTCATTCATTCGCATGGCCTATTTACGAGTTAGTCAAAGTCTGTATTTTGGCGCCAAACAAAAGCTAGTGCTGAGGAGGTAGCCATAGCAACAGTGAGCTAACAGGAACGGTTTCCCTTAGTAGACGCTACAAAACATTGACAAAATATTAAAATAAGCTTAAAGGGATTGTTCACCCAAAAATGAAAATTACCCCATGATTTGCTCACCCTCAACCTTAGGTGTATATAACTTTCTTCTTTCAGATAAATACAATCGGAGTTATATTAAAAAATGTCCTGGTTCTTCCCAGCTTTATAATGGCAGTGAATGGGTGTTATTTTTCAATAATCCAAAAGAAGTCCAATATAGCGCATCCATCCATCATAAAAAGTGCTCCACACGGCTCCGGGGGGTTAATAAAGGCCTCCTGAAGCGAATTGATGTGTTTTTGTAAGAAAAAAATCAATATTTAAAACTTTATAAACCGTAATCTCTAGTTTCCGCTAACTGTCGTAGGTGTGTACATGAGAGAGTGGCGTTCCAGCGGATGATGTAAGTGTAGCGTAAGGTCCGGTGAGAATGTGCTTGTCTCGCGAGAACCAAATTCTGTTTACAGGAGCAAAGGAATCAAAGTTTCCTTTGTTTAGCAAAGGAAAACCAGTCTGTCTCCTCTTGGCATGTTAAAGTCCTCTGACATTTTCCTTTACAAATCCTCGTTTTGACTGGTGTTTTGTTTTGCTCACTGCGCTTCTGCATTCGTCACTTCTCACGGAGTTTACGTCACTTCTCACAGAGTTTACGCTACGCATACGTCATCCTCTGGAACGCCACTCTCTCGTGAACGTGCATATGACAGTTAGTAGAAGCTAGAGATTACTGATTACAAGTTTTAAATATAGGTATTTTTCTTACACAAATGCATCGATTCGCTTCAGGAGGCCTTTACACGGAGCCGTGTGGAGCACTTTTTATGATGGATGGACGCACTTTATTGGACTTCTATTGGACTATTGAATCTCAACACCCATTCACTGCCATTATAAAGCTTGGAAGAGCCAGGATATTTTTTAAATACAACTCCGATTGTATTCGTCTGAAAGAAGTCATATACACCTAGGATGGCTTGAGGGTGAGTAAATCATGGAGTAATTGTCATTTTTTGGGTAAACTATCCCTTTAATGTCATTTAACAATTTAAAACACAAGTAGGTAAGTAAATAAGTGAATAAATTAATTAATAAATAAGACAAGCGAAATGAGCTTCAACGGATTTCGCCCTCAAAATTATCCAAACTTTCTCATAGCTTTATTTTGTACTCGGGTTGTCGTCTATATGCTTCATTCACAAAAACCCAAACTCAGTAGATTTATTTTTAGTTTTCCGAAACAAAAACTGTCAAAGATATTTTCATTTGCGCTGTGAAATTCAATCTGAGAGGAGCTCAGCGCGGTATGAAGACGCAGCGGGAGAGAGCCGCAATAAATACTTGTAAATTGATTGACAAGACTCGTTATCTCTCCCCCTGCAGCTCAACTTCTGTTTCTCATTTGGGACAGAAAGTGTTGAGCGCTGCAGAGTCTCAGAGGACCCGCAGACTCACCCGCTCAGGGCCGTTCAGGTCAAACCGGTCAGCGGGTTTATGTGATGTTATGAAGCTCTTGGACGCTTTGAGCTGCTCGTGTCTTTGGGAAACGGGAATTTAACTGGATTATATTCTAATCGGTTTATCAAACAGTATCTGCTGGACTTGGTTCAAGAGGATGGAATTGAGGAAAATTGTACCAAGCCTGCTTGTCCTTTATGCTGCGTTTGGCCACTTCTCCGAATCGTCTGAATTTAAAGGTGGGCTTTTTATTTGGAATCACACAGTAGCCTGCATCTTAAAATGTAATATAAACTCTGATTTGTGTATGTTGTTGTTTTTTTTTCCATTGGACTTCCTTTGGATTGTGACAATTAGCTTACAAGTGATGGTGTAAGTTCAGTGCTTTCACATTCTTGGTGATATAAAGTGGTCATCTAGGTTAAACCGTTAATTCCGAACCCAAATGGTCCTTTATTGTCTCATTTCATGCTCCCCCCAGCGACCTATAGTCAGCGCTTAGAGACAATGCGCCCAAACAATGAGATAATAACATGCAAATGTGAGCTGTTATCCATACAAACAACGATTGTCAGAAACTAACTTTTTAGTAAGTGGCAATATTTGCCCCCTAGATTTTTTTAATTGTCCTTCTTTGTCATTATGGCATGTTCAGAAACAAAAGTTAATTTCTACATTATTGCACAAAGTGTTTGCATGTAATTATTAAAATAATAATAATAACTTGCACAACAAATAATTGGCTGAATGATGTCAGTGTGCTTCCAATGACAAGCGTTTGCATATCAGTAGAATTATAAAGAAGAGAAATAAAAGACGATATGTAAAATGTCCTTTATCTGGAGAAATAAAGCAAGCTTCAGTTTAGTTTGTGGCTTGCACTGTACAAGTAACTACATAAATACTAAGAACATTACATGAAATTACATAAAACCCCATGTTAGTCCAACAGAATCCCCCAAAAGTTGTCCCAACTACTCAAAAGTTTCTATGA